ACATGGACCTGCGTAAGTACCTGTCATAAATCTGGCTTGAGTAGAGTAACAGCAGACAGGCCTGCAGAACTGACTGAACATGCCTAGAAATGCGGTAAACAATTATATGACGATTTCGTTGAGCTTCGTCCAGGTGCTGTGGCGGAAATCGAGTCTGAACTCAGAAAGAATAATACTGAAGACAGCTCATACTCCGATCTCGCCGATGCAAACGAGGTCTTGCAGCAGTCTAAAGACACGAAACATGTGTTCATTCAGCTTTGGCACGGCTTTCAGAATGTTTGTATGAGCCTTACTTGGCGAAAATGGTCAAGGCACGGATCCGAGAAGGGGCAGGATTTAGAGCTTGGCTTTTGTTCAGGCGTACTTAACAACATGGAGAAAGATCACGATTTTCTTCTGCTGTGTGTTCCTTTCCAGCGCTACGCAACGAAGCTACATCAAGCTGAAGTCTGCCGCATTAATTCTGATCAAGAACTCTTCCATGTCATGCGGCATTACTACTTCACCCAGCGGGGACGCAGTGCGTGGACAAGACTTCGGAAGGTATGTGGTATAGAATTTATCATGGTAAGTAAGCCTACTTTTCAGACTATGTTACCAATAACTGACTTTTTGGTGTCCCGATCCAGTTTGAGATGTACAGGAGCCAGCTTGTCGATATACAAAGCAGCCCGTCCTTGCCATCCAATGCGATGCATATCCAGTACACTTATGAGCCCATGCCAGCCGAAGTTGTCCCACCTATCGGGTCCAATCATCTCATGCATCTATTTGAGCACCCTGAAGACGCCGATGTGCTCCCAGTGCTGTACCGCAAAATTCCTAGAAAGCTTAGAGCTAAACTTGAGGCCTGCCCACGAAAAGGGAGTTCCGCCGGCTGGGGCTTACAGTATATCGAAGGCATGAATTGGTTTGTTGTCTTCATATATGGCTGTACGGGGTTTGCCCTGGCTCTTCTTGCAGGTGTCATTTGGGCGACGGTGCGGGCCGATGTTCAGGGTGCGTTTGCCATTGCTGGGTTTATGATTGCCTTTCTTCTATTCTGTGGTGGCATAGCGAGAGGAGAGATCCAGATTTAATTCTCTTCATCGCTTCTCAAAAGGAATGTTTGATGAGGCCTTTTGTCATCGTGACATCTTTTTAGCTAGGTCTAGAATTAACAGGGTGCTCTATCTGTTTTGTGCGATATATCCTTTGTCGATCAATAGCAGACACAGCAGACTCATTTCGATATTGCAAATATACGTGCTTCTCCCCATATTTCCTTTTTGCTTCCAGTCTTTACAGCTTCGCCTCCTTATATCTATTGAAGGAACCTATTGCATGATCCCTAGCTCTCATTCGCAAATAGTGTCATTTGAAGAGACCTTGGCGTGGACCCTAAGACCAGTCAGAAACTGGCTACCGAATATAATACGAGAGAGCAGAAAATTGACATCGACATGATAGCTTTTTCCGCCGAAAAATTCCAACTCGGCCTTCCGGGGTTTCAGTTCGGAGGCGGGGACCGAATTTGTGTCACGCGGAGGATTCGCAAAGCAGTGCGGACTTGCGGACTTGCGGACTTGCACAGGGAACAGTGACAAGGTATTCAGGATCAGTAAACTAGTAAATAGGTGCATAGAGTCTCTTTTAGAAGCTTGGCGATTGGGGTAATTCTTTTAGGCGCAGCCTACTCTTCGCAATCAAAATCGGAAACATTGCCATAATTCGTTGATCTCCTACACAGCGAGTAGAATGCTCAGGAGTTTGTGCTTCACAGTCGCCAAGGATCAGCAAGCATATAATCATAGTTGTGACTAAAAAGACAATATGTACTAGGTCTTGTTGTATTTACCACTGGAGTCGCCTAGAGACTTATAGATCTGTTTAGACGAGATGACTCTCTTAACTTATACGCATCTCTTTCCCCGAGATTGACACTACTAAACCCTCCTAATGCTAGATGAGAACTGAAGCAAAGAGTTCTAATTCACACCGGAGCCTGCTCCCCACTTTTGATTGTCTCCGTATTAAGTCTCTTCAATTTTGTTGCGAGGCAAGTGATGAAGCCCAATGCACTTGATGCCAGACAGATTGCAAATGCGATCTTCAGGCCGCGCATGTACGCACGGAGAACACCGGGAATGAGGTCTGGTGGGAAAACATTTCGAATTTCTGTGGCGCCAGTGACAATCACCACCGATGGCTCCAAGCCCGGAGCGCTGCTGGGTAGCACCTTGCTCATCACATTGATGAATGCAGCCTGTCCTGCGGAGATGATGAAGGCTCCGCCGACCGATGAAGTAACTAGAACACTTATTAGCTCCTGAATCAATGTCAATGAAGCATTATGCTGCCAACTTACATAGCATGATTGCAGTTGCTGTAGCCATGTCCTTCGGCGGAGCTGTCGCCTGAGAAGTGATAATAGGTATTTGAGCAATCAGCCCCCAACCAAAACCTCCCACTATTTGGTAGCCTATCCACTCGCCCGTGTTGGTACCGATATCGAGGGTGTATAGGAGCCCAGAGCCGATCACAGCGATAGCGGCGCCGACAATTTTGATAGGAGCTGCATATCCTGTGAAGGTGATGATTCCACCTGATAAAACCGTAGCCACCGTGAAAGAAATGATGAGAGGAAGATTTCGAACACCTGAGGATACCGGACTGGCATCATGAATGCTTTGAAAATAAATCGGAAGATAGTAAACCACAAGATAGTAAGGGCCGAGGATAAAGGGGTAACACAATGCCTCAACAAGATAGACGCGTTGACCAATGAGCCGTCTAGGAACCATTGCGCGTTCATTCTGTAGATATTCCCAAATAACAAATAATACACCAATGGCGGCGGACCCGACTAATAGACTAATGACCAAAGATGAGTTCCAAGGATGTGTCTGGCCGCCATATTGTAAAGCCAGAATAAACGATAGAATGGTGCCCATTGCCAATAAAATGCCAACAAGATCCAGCTGCAATATCTTTTCTTTGAGAGTAGACGTGTCTGGTCTGGAAGTGCTCGGTGTATGGAAGAAGAGTGTTATCACCATTGCAGAGAAGCCACCGATGGGCAGATTAATGTAGAAACACCATCGCCATGAGATATGGCTCGTCAGAACACCTCCCAATAGCGGACCAGTAACAGACGCGACGCCGAACGCCATTCCGATAATTCCTGTGAATAGTGGCCGCTTTTTAGGTTCTGTAGAGAATGCGATGATTATATATGAACCCGTGCTGATACCTGACCCGCCAATACCAGCAATAGCGCGGCCAACAATCAGAACCTTTGAACTAGGCGCAGTGGCACAAATGAGCGAGCCCAGCTCAAATAAGAAGATGGAAGCCAAATAGCTGAGCTTAAGGGGAAAGTACTTATACACTTTTCCCCAGGCGGGCTGCGTGGCACCGAGTGTGATGAAATATGCGGACCCGTACCACGCAACGTCATTGAGGCTGTTGAACTGATCGGTAATCTTGGGGATAGCTGTCGCTACAATAGTCTGAGAAAGCTTTCATTAGCCGCGAGATATTTAAGCCATGCCGTGAGTTTGAGAGAACAATACCATATCCAGAGAGCCAAGGAAAATAGTGAGAGCCAGAGCAAGTACAACACAGATAAGTCTAATGCCCCCAGGATATTCATCGAGAGAAGGATCCAGATTGTGTTTCGAGGGCGAAGCATCTGTGTCCATTTTCGGACCACTGTTTCCACTGTTCTTTTCGGGTTCAACAGTTTTTGTCTCAGCAACCGGGTCTCTCGATTTGGTCAACATTCATCTTCCCGTTCTTCAATCTGGAGGTTCGTGTGATGTGGTTTGTTTCGACTTGTCTTTTCGATACTGAGGCTCTAGTATGCTGCGGTGCTTATTGTTTATTGACAAGATAATGATGGCAAATGCATCAACTTTCGAGAGCGACTGAAGGAAAGGTGAGATGTTATATATCAGAACATAGAATCGGAGATGACCAGAACAGCCGGCGGAGTGGGTCCAGCTTGGGAGGCAGACGACATGATGTTGATCTTAACTCGATTCCTAGCTTTGAAGTGACTAATGGGTAATAGCTCACAAATTGAATTTAGGTATCCAGGCTTGCCCCAATGTGGCTGTCACCGTGTTAATGCTATAACTTTGACATTAAAGAACATGATACCTGCGGTAAGTTGTGCACTTAGTCTTCTATAGAGCATAAGGGCTCGTACTGCTACCATTCTAATGCCTCACTGCACCCGACCCCCACAAAGTCAAATTGCCCTGAGGTAGCTAATTCTAGGCCTGTGGATATCGAAATATCACGGGACAAATGATTTGCTGTCTCGGGAGTGGCCTTGTTTTGAAGGCATTCTAGGCATCTGGAGTTCCGCCGAGGTCTCGGTCGAACTGGGGCTATGTAGTGCCACACCTCGTCCTCGACGGGCGGCAACTGTCAATGCTCAAATTTCATGGTCAAAATTATTTATAGGGACAAGGTTATTTCTTTCATGGTTCGAAGCAGTCGTTGCCATATCCTGGCTAATATCTGAGTTTCTGAAGCTAGCTGCTGATAGACAGAGCACGATCGTAGGTTCAGGATTGGCCGTCATACGACTTCGCTTTTATCTAGCTTCACTAAATACCTTCCTCAGCATTGCATGTTGCTGTCTTCAGCCGTCATGCGTTCTACGGACCATGGCTTACGAAATGAGTGGGTGGAGGCAACAACGAAGACCATAATTGAACAAGATCACTCACAATATCCTTTGACAATCGATCTGTAGTAGACTCAGATATAGAGAGTTGATTATGGGATCTCTGGGTGGGTTTTATGCTGGCCAATGAACCCAAATACCACTGGGATTGGCGAGAGAGTCAAGACCCATTTTCGTTGACTCTGTCACAAAGGCTCCCTGAGCTACGATCCAACCACTTGCTATTGCAGCATCGCTCTCATTTCCATGACAACAGATACAGATGCACATTGCACGCTGGTCTCAGGATTTATTTAACCTAGCTGAGCAAGATATCTATTTACAGTTGAAAGTGTCTGACGTCCTGCGGTCTGAGATTGCCCTCTTCACATTTCTTGGTCATCTTTTTGTTATCACGCCAATAGACAAAAATGAGCACCATGCTGACAAGAATGCTACCGGCATACAACGATAGGACCGCGCTGAATCCGTGAACGTATGCTGGCGCGTCTGAACTCTTGAATAGCTCGGGACCGACGATGCCACCAATGTTAGATCCCATCACAACGAAGGCGAGCCCAATGCTCCTCTTATGAGGTGACCTAGCGTTGATATTCAACCACGCATCATTAAGTCCCTGGGCAAGGGCGTTGCCACTGCCGAGTAGAGTAAAAATGGCATAGCGAAGCCATTTGTCGGAGTCGACGCCAATCCCAAGCAATGCGCCACCAAAGACAATAGCCCAGACAAAGGATACAATACAGAAGAGACCGCGCTGACCCGTCTTGTCCGATGCGAACGAGATGAGGAAGGATAATACCACAACGAGGTAGCTGCTCACCGAGTTGAGGAGGTTGGCTTTCGTTTTGTTGAAGCCAAGAGACTTGATGATGCTAGGACCATATAGCTGCAGTCCGCCCTTAGGAGCTAGAGCTAGGATATTGAGTATGCCATGAAGCCAGAGATGGTAATCGCAAACGGCGTCGACGAAATTCGCCCAGTTGATGTGTGCCTTGGCATGGGCCTTGGACCGGTCGTGTGAGACAACACGAGTCTGCATGATTTCCTTCTCACGCGTGGTGAATGTGTCGAACATACCATGAATAGGCCTGGTACGAGCTGGCGAGAAGGGCATGAAAGCAAAAAAGACCAGAAATGCCATCATGTGATAGCTCCTTCGACTATTTTAAAAAGCATTCATTAGTGCCTTGTTCTGTGATTTGTTTCTTTTCAAACACTCGGAAAGAAGACCTCAGGACCAATACATACTGATGAACAACCACTGCCATCCCGCCAGGCCTCTTTCCCCACCAAGTTGTAGTATACCTGCCGCAATCAAGGATCCCGTTGCAGTAGAGAAGTAATTGCCAAAGTAAAACACGGCTGTTCGAATAGCCAATTCATCTGACTTATAGAAAAGAGCCAGGACATATTGAGCGCCAGGAATGTAGCCACCTTCGAAGACTCCAAGGAGAAAGCGTGTAGCGTAAAAAGAGGACAGATTGGTGACAAATGCCTGACACAACGATATAGTACCCCATATAGCCAATATAGTTGTCAACCAAATGGGTGCACCAAAACGCTGTAGCAGTAGATTGGAAGGAATTTCGGCCAGGACAATGCCAGCAGACATGATCTGATTGCCCGTGCCGACTTGATCCGAAGTAATTCGAAGATCCTCGGTGATCGTGTCGGTCAGAGCATTACTAATGTTGCTGCGGTCTAGCTGGAGGACAAAGAAGCCAATGATCAAAATTGGCATTAGAATCATGTCGAGCCTGAAATAAGTCAAGTCGTTAGTTTTTAGCCTCTTCGTCTCTTCCTGAGCTGAGAACATACTTCAATCTAACCCTTCGTTCTTCCTTAGCCGACCACACTGCAGTGGGCTCGACACTGATATCTTGTGTTTGGTCCATTTCTGAGTCCTTAAAGTCATCTTGCGCGAGCTTCGGGTCAACCGTATTCTGTGGTGCCTTCTCCATTGTGCTGCAGTTGACAAATCTGGGACAATTTCGCACACGAACGATTCAGAAGTGTTTGTAATAGTAAGATGTGTGTTGTCGGTAGCGGAACTCAAGTGCAATGAGATCAAGCTGTGAAGATCAAGCCAATATATCTGCTTAGCCACGACTCCATCTAAGAGAAAGTCGTATGGTGCCGGGCGATAAGAGAAAGTGGCAACACGAAACAAGCAGCGCCCAGGCTTATCCTAAAGATGTTTGCCAAACAGACATTGCAAATATGAGCATTTGATGTGTTGCTGTTATCGCGATTTCATTTTGCGTGCCGCGGCGTCTATTCGTACTAGTCTACCCAAGTATATCACACCAAGTGGGGTGTCGGCGATGGGCGTCGGAGGTGAGCTCGGCAGTGAGCGATCTCGTCTAATTGACTGGCTTTGTCACGATATTCGCTATCCAAATTAGGTCACGGCTGGCTGATGTGATCGGAGAAATTTTGAATCTCAATCTTGCTCTTTCTTCCTTGTGAAGTGATCTGGAATTGTCCCTGCTGTTTGACATCTTGCCATCTTTGCTTCCGCTCTGATGGGTATCATAACCACAGCTCGCCATCCTGAATAAGCCCGCAATAAGCTTCATAGCTTCACACAATGTCTAAAGACCCTGCCAAGCCAAACATCGCCCTTATCCTCGCCGATAACCTGGGCTGGGGTGAATTGGGTTGCTATGGCGGTGGTCTTCTTCGTGGTGCCGCTACACCTCGTATCGATAAGCTTGCTACTGAGGGCCTGCTATTACACAACTTCAACGTGGAAAGTGACTGCGTACCAACTCGTTCCGCACTTATGACAGGACGTCATCCTATACGCACCGGCTGTCGGCAATCTGTACCGGCAGGCTTCCCTCAGGGACTGACCACGTGGGAGCGTACATTGCCCGAGTGCCTCAAACCGCAGGGTTATGCAACAGCACACCACGGTAAATGGCATCTGGGTGATATTGAAGGTCGCTATCCCTCCGACCGAGGATTTGACGAGTGGTACGGCATCCCACGTACAACAGACGAGAGCCAATTCACGTCGGCATTGGGATTCGAGTCTGAAGTCGTGGATCTTCCATACATCATGAAGGGGGTTGCCGGCAATGCCTCCGAAAACGTCCAACTTTATGATTTGGCATCCAGAAGAGAAATTGATGCAGTACTTGTTGAAAGGACTAAAGATTGGCTCTCAAGACAGGCTGAGAAGGAGCAGGCTTTTTTTCTCTATCATCCACTGATCCATCTCCACTTCCCAACCCTCCCTCATAAGGATTTCGCAGGAAAGACCGGCAATGGGGAGTTTGCGGATTCGATGGCAGAAATGGATTATCGAGTTGGCGAGATCGTTGACCATATAGACTCTCTTGGCCTGTCAGAGAACACTGTTTTCATTTTTGCATCAGATAACGGGCCGGAGTTCAGACCACCTTACCGTGGGACTGCGGGCCCGTGGACCGGCACATACCACACTGCCATGGAAGGGAGTCTACGGGTGCCGTTTATAATAAGGTGGCCGGGAAGGGTACCAGAGGGTATCGTCTCAAATGAAATGGTTCACGTAACCGATATATTCACCACGATACTAAGTATCGCGGGTGCAGAAAAGCCTGCGGACCGACCTATTGACGGAATTGACCAGACCAACTTCTTCAAAAATCCACAACTTGTTAAATCGGCTAGAGAAGGATTTCTTTTTTATATCAAAGAAGAACTCCGTGCCATCAAATGGAAGCATTGGAAGCTCCATCTGGTATGGGAGCCCAAAGTCAACGACTCATCAGGTAAACTCGAAAGCCCCTATCTCTTCAATCTTCTCCGGGATCCAAAGGAAGAGACTGATATTCTGCCCTATAACACATGGGTGAGGCAACCAATGCTCAAGTTGAAGGCCGAATTCGATAGAAGTCTACGGCACGATCCTGCACCTGAGGATCCCATGAAGAGGGCATTCCTAGATGAAATCCCTAGCCACTAAGGCATGGCTACTACCTCGCGCTTACTGTAGAGATTATATCAACAATATTATCCTGCTTCTTATAAATTAGATTTAACATGTTAAACGGGCCTGCGTTATGGTGACGTACTCTTCGTTGAATACCTAAGGGGTGATCATATCGTTCTACATCGGCCACTCATCACTATCTGTATGATATCGTAAATGAACAAATGGGCTATGCAAAACTAAGACTGAAACTTCCTAAGCGACGTGAACTGCTCTTGAATACGTCCAAGGTAAAAGGGTCATCAAACGGTGTTCAACTAGATAAAGCTGTTGAAGTTAAACTCTTCGGGAGGGATGTAGACGTCCATGAATAGATCGGGATACGCATGAGCTGAGTAGTCCGCGAGTTTGTCCTTGTCGTTCAGTATTTGAGAAGAGATATTTTCAAAAGTATCCCGATACGCTCGACCTAGATGATATCTCTCGACCATCCCCCACAAGACAGCCGAGCATGTATTGATAGAACCTTTCAAGTCAGATGACGTCAATTCCCCGCCGAGCACGGATGGCAGCACCAGGACCTTCAGGCATTGTACGAGGGCGGTACCGGCCCGGAACAAATTGTGAACAGTACGCCAATAGAAGCGTAATTTGCCGTCCTTAAAACTGTTTTTATAGATCTCGACAGCTTGTATTGCTGAATGGGCAAGATAAATGTATTCGTACTCGCCTGGCTCCGGCATATGCTGTGATGGCAGATAAAGACGGATAATGGAGTTGTGATAGCAGCCGGCGAAGATCTCAGACGGTGCCAGCTGAGTAGATCGGTCGCACTGAGGTACCGAGGCCCGCCATTCTTGTAGGCGGTGCCACATGCCGTCGCGCCAAGCGGTATAGTCGAGGGTTGCGCCGTTTAGAGGAAGGTTTTGGTTAATAGTCTGTTCAATCTCGGATGACAGCTTCAGATGTTTGATAAGATGGATAGCAGAGCATCTTTCTTGATATGCTTCCCCACCTTCAAACACTGACGGAAGAGGTGTGCTAATTGCCTCATCAGGAATGCTGCATGGCCGGTTCAACACATGACAGAGTATTCTCTCAAATGAATAGACTGCCCAAAATACCCATCTCTTTCTGTCGGCTCTGAGATCAGTGTCGATGGTCTCATTTATGTCTCCGGCTCTGTCCCCATGCTCAGTGCCGTCGTGAACACTGCTTTCGCGATAATTCCCCATCTCTATAGCCATGCGGGTGGCATATCCAAGTAGATACCATGCGGAGACCAGGTTTGAACTGAAAAAGAGGTATTGTATGAGAAGAAGTAAATTCTCAAGCTGGTCAAGTCCTGTTCTCTGGACTAGGCTAGAGTTCATCGACAGTATGCGAGAGGCCAGTGCATAGTATGCCTCTGCCCTTGAGATGGGAAAGGATGAGTCCTTACAATTCAGTAAGCGGGCTGCGATGGCAAAGATAAGCGCAACACGAAATCTCGCAGACAGCGAGAGTGCAGATAAGTCTGGGGGGCTATTGCTATCGTGCTTAGTGGTATAAAGAACGCTGAGCTCCGCATCAATGTTTCGCCTCTCGAGAATAGGGGAGAAAAAGTCACTGTGCTCAAAATATGCATCAATGAGAGTATATGCGACTTCACGTGTTGGCAGTGAAACTTGTGGGTCGTAGGGCAAGCCTTCAAGAACTCCTTGATGCTCACTATCCGAAGTAATTGGAATATTTGCTGTTGCTAGATGGTGATGCAGTGTCGTCATTGATATTGTCGATATTCCTGTCGCCCGTGACCAATCTTGAGAGGAGGACAAAGTCTTTGCAAGCGTCGTACCATGAGACGGCGGGGATAAGGTCGCCGCTGAGTCTGTGACCACGACAGAGCGAGGGCCAATACTGGTTGCCGAGTCATAATCTGTTATGCCACGGGAAATGAGCTGCTTCTCGAGGTGGGCTATTCGTTCTTCAAGGTTGTGGATATAGCTCCGAGGCGTGACCTGGCCGTTTATGTCGACGTTGACACATTCTACGCCGGCTGCCACGCAGTTCAAACAAGACGGTATACTCTGATCGCATCTTTGTTTCCTAGACTTGCATCTCATGCACGCAGTGACATTGGCTCGACGGACATTAGAACGCCGCTGGCTGGATGCTGGCAGCATGCTCCCTCGCCTCCTCCTTGATGGCTCAAGCTGAGACTCAATGGAAGAGGTGGAATGAGGACAAGAATCATTCTGCCTTATCTAATCGTGTTTGCTTAAGAACCGGAGACTCCACTCGGGCGGCTAGGACCGAGTGCTTTTCGTACCACTATCTCAGCGCTTCCTTAGTTTCTTTTAGCTTACATAATACATACTCGTTGTACTATTTTAATTGTCGCTCCCAGTAAGTTTTCTAAACATACCGCTTGAGACATTCTTTGTCTACCTACAGCTGATCCTTGCTCTCAAATGCTTGTCCATTATCATTTGCATAAGAGACCAATGAGATCTTCATGTTAATTAACTATTATTTCCGGATATACCATCAAGTCTATCTGATAACCTTCATAACATAACCCACAATCGGAGGAGGCATAAATAGACATTAAAACTAAAAAGTTGTCAAAAAATTGATTATCACAGTTGAAGGCATCACAGGCTACCAGGTAAACAGTTCCATATAAAACAACGCCTGACTTCCATGTAGTCATTAATCTAGCAAGGCTGTGTAACAACTTCTTTCTCGTTGTTTCTCGGTCAGGGAGAGCTAGCAGAGGAGAGAAAGCTCTAAAAGCTTAGACATCAAGTACCATGGGCACTTTCAAGCCCCCTTGATATCTCAAGTTCTGGCGCTGATCCAAACACTCAAGTGCTCAGTCGGACCCTAAGGTATCTCCTCAGTGGCAATGTAGCATCTGTTCTAGTGACCTATAGTATCAATTGATACGACAGACTAGTATCACCACTGAGCATAGTCACTTCTACGCTCGATCCAATCGGAATATTCTGAAATCCGGAGTCATTGAATGCAGCGGTCCCATTCGAGCCTGTCAGC